CTGCACTCCAGTCTGGGTGACAGAGTGAGACTCCAACTCAAAAAAACAAAAAACAAAAACTAAACTGAGACACTACTTAACTCCAGTCAGGATGGCCATCATCAATAACTCCATGGAGAGGATGATAAGGCAAAAAGGGAACACTTCTACAGTGTTGATGGGAGTGTAAACCAATACAATCTCTGTGGAAAACAGTTTGGTGATTCCCAAAAGATCTAAAAATTGACTTTCCATATGACCCTTCAATCCCCCTACTGGGAATATACCTGGAGGAACTCAAATCACTCTTTGAAAAAGATACCTGCAAGTGTATGTTTATTGCAGCATTGTTCACAATAGCAAAAACATGGAACCAACTGTGTTGCCTATCGAAAGAGGACTGGATAAAAAAGTGTGGTACATATACACGATGGAATATTACACAGCCATAAAGAAGGACAAAGTTATTAACTTCACAACAACTTGGATGGACTTTGAGTCTATAATACTAAGTGATCTATCACAGAAGCAAAGAACTGAGTATCACATGTTCTCACTCATAAGTGGACCTTGAACAATTATTGTAATACTATAAAAAAAGGATTGGCAGTACTGGGAAACTGTCAGGTGGGAGGGAGGGGGAAGACGGGATTGGCAGTTATAGGAAGCTATGGTGGGGGGGAAGGGGCACCTCATCAACAAGGGTACCTGCATAATGAACATTTGTATGCCTAACCCTGAATTGTACTCCACATCTTTAAAAGAAAACATTAAAAAAAAAGTTGAGAATATTTAAAATTAACTTAAAAAGCTAATCAGAGTGAAGGGATTTTTCACAAATCCTTTTAATGCCTGATTTCAAAAAGTTAGTTGAAATTGTTGCTCAGGCTGCTGTGACAAGTCATCTCTACTGAAATGTTTTTTTTAAAAATCAAACCTTAAGCGGGGCTTGGTGGCTCAGCCTGTAATCCCGTGCCTTGGGGGGCTGAGGTGAGTGGATTGCCTGTGCCCACGGGTTCGAGACCCGCTTGGGCAACTTGGTGAGACCTCATCTCTACAATAAATTTTTAAAAAATTAGCCGGGTGTGGTAGCGCACGCCTATAGTTCCAGCTACTTGGAAGGCTGAGGCGGAAGGATCACTGGAGCCCAGCAGGTCAAGGCTGCGGTACTGCATTCTAGTCTGGGCGACGGAGTGAGACTCTAACTCAAAAATAAAAATAAAAAATAAAAATAAAACCTTATACAGATGTATAGTTGGGAAAAGCATTTTAATAGCCTTCCCAGGGCTGGGTACAGTAGCTCACACCTATAATCCCAGCGCTTTGGGAGGATGAGGCTGAGATGAGAGGATTGTCTGAGTCCATGGGTTCGAGACCAGTCAGGTCAACTTGGCGAGATCTCATCTCCAGAATAAATAAAAAAATTAGCCAGGTGTGGTGGCTCATGCCTGTAGTCCCAGCTACTTGGAAGACTGAGGTGGAAGGATCACCTGAGCCCAGCAGGTTGAGACTGCAGTGGCGATGAGCATGCCACAGTACTCCAGCCTAGGCGACCGAGTAAGACTCCGACTCCAAAAAAAACAACAAAAAAATAGCCTTTCCAGGATATTCTTTGACACTTCATTAAAATTTAATAAGTAGCCAGGCATGGTAGATCATGCCTATAATTCCCAGAACTTTGGGAGATGGAAATGAGAGGATTGCCTGAGCTCACAGGTTCGAGACTGGCCTGGGCAATTTGGTGAGACCTCATCTCTACAATAAGTCAAAAAATTAGCCAGATGTGGTGGCGCACCCCTGTGGTTTCAGCTACGTAGAAGGCTGAGGCATAAGAATCACCTGAGTCTAGTAGGTCCAGGCTGCAGTGGCCGTGAGCATGTCACTGCATTCCAGTCTGGGTGACAGAGTGAGACTTCCAATTAAAAAAAAAAAAAAAAATTAAAAAGTAGCAGTATCTCAAAAGTTACTTGAGAATCTGAATGTGAACCCTGTAACTTATCAGTGATCTTTTCGTATACCTGTTACATTAAAATTATTTAGTATGTATGATACTTTGGTCCTTTTACTCATGCATCATTTTATATTTATTTATTTATTTATTTTTTGAGTTGGAGTCTCACTCTGTCACCCAGACTGGAGTGCAGTAGCATCATCATGGCTCACTGCAGCCTGAACCTCCTGGGCTCAGATGATCCTTCCACCTCAGCTTCCCAAGTAGCTGAGACTATAGTCACTTGCTGTCATGCCCAGCTAAATTTTTGATTTTCTCACTATGTTGCCCTGGCTGGTCTCAAACTCCTGGGTTCAAGCAATCCTCCTGCCTTGACCTCTCAAAGTGCTAGGATTACATATATAAGCCATTGCATCCAACCCATACATCATTTTATAATATGTTGGAAAGGATTTGTTTTCTGAGTTATGCAAATCTTCCAATTGTTGACATATTTCATTATATAATAAAATTATATTCATTAAAATGACACTGATTTCATCAGGAAATTATTTAAGTTTTGAGGGGCTGTCAAGACATGGTAACAATTTTCCAAAATTCTTACTTCTGCTAAAAAAAAATTGGTTAAAGGCTGGGCATGGTGGCTCATGCCTGTGATCTCAACACTTTGGAAGGCTGAGGCAAGAGGATTTCCTGAGTCTAGGGGTTTGAGACCAGCCTGGGCAACTTGGCGAGATCTCTGCTCTATAATAAATCAAAAAAATTAGCCAGGCATGGTGGTGCATGCCTATGGTTCTAGCTACATGTAAGGCTGAGTCGGAAAGCTCACCTAAGCCCAGCAAGTCAAGGTTGTGGTAGCACTGAGCATGCCACTGCACTATATAGCCTGGTGGGCGACAGAGTGAGACTAAAAAAAAAAAAAAAAAAAAAAAGTTGGTTAAATAGCATTTTATCATTTGTAACATATACTGTAAGTTGTTTTCCTTGAAATGTCAGCTTCCCTTCATTCATTATTAGAAGATGTCTGCCAAACTCACATTGGAATAACTAGCTTGTGCACAAATTATTCAAGCAAAAACAGTATGCCATGCAAAAGCAGATAGTTCCTCTCAAACAACTGCACTTTTCCTTAAGATATTTCTGCATATCGTAGAAACGCTTTATGCATATTTCACAATTTGTCATATGGACTATTAATAAGATATATACTCAGTTTGAGATTTAATAAAATTTATAAATTCTGTAGCTTTATCAAGAACATTTAAAATTAAAATTAACTTTCTTTTTCCTTGCAAGTGCAAGCAAAGACTAAAATACAGGTTGAATATCCCTTACCTAAAATAACTGGGAACAGAAGTGTTTTGGATTTTTATTTTATTTTATTTATTTTTTGAGTTGGAGTCTCACTCTATCGCCCAGGTTGGTGTGCAGTGGCACGCTCATGGCCACCGCAGCCTTGACCTGCTGGGCTTAGGTGATCCTTCCATGTTAGCCTTCCAAGTAGTTGTGCACTATCACGCCTGGCTTATTTTTTGATTTATTGGGGTCTCACCAAGTTGCCCAGGCTGGTCACAAACCCCCAGACTCAGGCAATCCTCTTGTCTCTGTCTCCCAAAGTGTTGGGATTACAGGCTGAGCCATCGCGCCTAGCTGATTTTGATTTTATTTTTAGAGACAAGGTCTCACTCTGTCATGCAGACTGGAGTGCAGTGGCATGATCACAGCTCACTGTAACCTCCACCTCCAGGGTTCAAGCGATCCCCTGCTTCAGACTCTCAAGTAGCCAGGACCACAGGTGTGCGCCACCATGCTCAGCTAATTTTTTGTAAGTTTAAAAAAACTATTTGTAAAATTTTTAAAAAACATAGTGTCTTACTATGTTGCCCAGGCTGGTCTTCGACTCCTGGGCTCAAGTGATCCTCTTGCCTTGTGATTTCAAAGCACTGGGATTACAGGCATAAACCACCATTCCTGGCTGGATTTTGTGAATTGAAATATTTGCATTTTATATGCTCACCAGTTGAGCTTTCCAAATCCAAAAGTCAAAAAATCCAAAATGCTCCAGTGAATATTTCCTTTGAACATCATGTCAGCACTCAAAAAGTTTTGGAGAATTTTGGATTTTCGGATTTGGATGCTAGTACAGTTTGTTACTACTACCTTGATTCCTGTTCAGCTGTCAGCACTTTTATCTACCACTTTATTTCCAACATGAGTGCACAGTGAACACAGTGAAAAGGTAAGTCATGTCTACTATTATGAAAACAGTTTTAACCTTGAAGACTCTCTAGAAGGTTCATATTTTAAGACAAACTGGAGAAAGAGAAAAAAGTAATGGACATTTATTTACCTGTTTCTTCTGTTCAGTGGGGGACAAGCATTTGGAACCAACTTTCTGAGCTTCCTCAAACAGGTTGTCAACAAAATATTCACAATTTGTTTGTTGATTATCACTAAGAGGTTGATTGTCAGATTCTGTTTCACAAACCCTAAACAAAAGAAAAGAGCTATTGACTACCAGTTCACTAAAAATGTACATAAATTGTTCTAGTTAAGGGATGCTCAATTGAGATGCTACCTTCACGTCCATAGTTCAGGTCTTCTTCTAAGTTACTATAATAGCTATGTAACCTTTGGGATGTTACTAACCCCTTTTAGTACAGAGAAGGGTTTTTTCCACCTCAGCTCCATTGACAGTTGGAGCAGGATAATGCTTTGTTTTATGGGCTGTCCTGTACACAGTGGGATGTTTAGCAGTATCCTTGGTCTTTATCCATTAGATACAAGTATCATGCACATCCCTGCTCCATCCTCACTTCTCAATGTTATAACAACGAAAAATATCCCTCACATTGCCATATGTGTCTAGGAGCAAAATCTCTCCAGGTTGAGAAACACTTATCTAGAGTAAAAACTGTATTACTTTTAAAGGGCTCAAAACCATCTTTAAAAGAAGTTACTATGTATTTTTTGGTAACAAAACATTCCTGAAACTAAAGGGGATGATGAATCAGAACAGTCAAATTTTGCTTTTTGCACACTTCAGAATGAGATTTCTCACTGAAGATTTTATGTATAGTGGTTTAATACTCTACTGATTTTTATTTTGTATTTATATTTCATCATCTAAGAAATATTACCTAAGATTCTGTTTGCTAGAAAAGAGGGTTTCTGGTTGATCTCTTCTGAAGTCATGCAGAAAATTTATAAATGTACTAAAATACAATTTTTCAGATTCTATAAATAATACTTTTTATAGCTCTTATATTGTCCTAGGAAATATAAGGCAGATACTCTTACTAACCCTGCTATTAATCTGTCTCCCAAGTCTGTGATCCCAACCATAATATCCTATAAAGAACCATGCTGCTGGGCATGGTGACCCAAGTCTGTAATTCCAGCACTTTGGGAAGCCAAGGCGAGAGGACTGCCTAAGGGACAACTTGGCAAGACCTTGTCACTACACTAAATCAAAAAATAAGCTGGGCATAATAGTGCATACCTGGAGTTCCAGCTACTTGGAAGGCTGAGGCGGAAGGAATGCCTGAGCCCAGCAGGTCGAGGTTGCAGTGGCTGTGAGCATGCCACTGCACTGCAGTCTGGGCGACAGAGTGAGATTCCAACTCAGAAAAAACAAACAAACAAACAAACAAACAAAAACTATTCTAAGGCTGGGGGCCGTGGCTCATGCCTATAAACCCAGAAGTTTGGGAGGCCACGGTGAGAGGATTGCCTGAGCCCACGGGTTTAAGACCAGCCTGGGCAACTTGGCAAGACCTCGTTTCTACAATAAATAAATAAATAAATAAATAAACTAGCTGTGTGTGGTGGCGCACGCCTGTAGTTCCAGCTACTTGGAAGACTGAGGCAGAAGGATCACCTGAGCTTAGCAGGTTGAGGCTGGGTAGCTATGAGGATGCCATTGCACTCCAGCCTGGGTGACAGAGTGAGACTCCAACACACACACAAAAAACTATTCTAAGTACCTGGCATGTGTTAACTCATTCAATCTTCAATCCTCAAAATGATTCTAAAAGGCATGTATTATTTTTATCCCCATTTAATAGATAAAGAAAAAGTTTAAGTAATTTGCCCAAGATCCCAAAGCTGTTAGGAGACATACCTGGGAACTGAACTCATGCTATCAATGTCTGTCTTTTTCCTGAGTTGGAGTCTCGCTCCGTCGCCCAGACTGGAGTGCGGTGGCTGCTCTGGGCCACCGCAGCCTTGACCTGCTGGGCTCCGGCGATCCTTCCGCCTCAGCCTTCCAAGTAGCTGGAACTACATGCGTACGCTACCACGCCTGGCTAATTTTTGGTTTATTGTAGAGATGAGGTCTCGCCAAGTTGCCCAGGCAGGTCACGAACAATGCCTGTCTTCTTAATCACTATGCTAAACATGTCTCTCAAAATAGCCATCACTAAGTCTGGTGCGGTGGTGCACACCTGTGGTCTCACCTATCAGGAAGCTAAGGAGGATCACTTGAGGCCAGGAGTGTGAGTCTATAGTGTGCTACAGACATGCCTGAGAATAGCCACTGCACTCCAGCCTGGGTAACATAGCAAAAACCCACACTATATTGTTTTAAAATGCAGATACAGCCGGGCGGGTGGCTCAGCCTGTAATCCTGCGCCTTTGGGAGGCTGAGGTGAGTGGATTGCCTGAGCCCGCGGGTTCGAGACCTGCCTGGGCAACTTGGTGAGACCTCATCTCTACAATAAATAAAAAAAAAAAATCAGCCGTGCGTGGTAGCACTCGCCTGTAGTTTCAGTTATTCGGAAGGCTGAGGCGGAAGGATCGCCGGAGCCCAGTAGGTCAAGGCTGTGGTGGCCGGGAGCAGCCACTGCACTCCAGTCTGGGCGACAGAGTGAGACGCCAATTCAAAAAAAATAAAAAAATAAAATGCAGATATGCTGGCTCAGCCTGTAATCCCAGCACTCAGGGAGGCCAATCCAAGCGGACTGCCTGAGTCCACGGGTTCGAGACCAGCTTGGGCAACTTGGCGAGACCTTGTCTCTACTATAAATTAAAAAATTAGCTGAGTAGGGTAGCTTGTGCCTGTAGTTCCAGCTACTGAGAGGACTGAGGTGGAAGGATTGCCTAAGTCCAGCAGGTTGAGGCTGTGGTGGCCGTGAGCGTGCCACTGCACTCCAGCCTGGGTGACAGAGTGAGACTCCAAATAAAAAATAAATAAATAAGTAAATATAATACAAATACTTCAATTTAGGTATACTCTTTACTTGCCTAGGTATTTGTCTCTCTCTCTATATTCTTAAAACATTTCATGTTATCACAAAATATTAATGATGTATTTTCTTTCTTTCTTTTTTTTTTTTTTTGAGTTGGAGTCTCACTCTATCACTCATACTGGAGTGCAGTGGCCGCTCCCGGCCACCGCAGCCTCGACCTGCTGGGCTCCAGCGATCCTTCTGCCTCAGCCTTCCAAGTACCTGGAACTACGGGCACGCGCTACCACGCCCAGCTGATTTTTTATTTATTATA